AGTTAGACTATGCCAAACAAAGCCAACAGTACTAAAGCTTGATTCATTAGCTAACATTAACATTAAGAAAGGCCAGAAAGAGGACCAGGCTGGCTAGACAAGACAATTTAAACCACTTTTATCTACATGTAAATCAAATATGTCAAATTTGATTTACATGTAGAAATAATTTTACAGTTTTCCAATATTTGTTTTTCCTAAAAAAACATTGTACAATCTATCTGTAACACAAATCTAAGAAATTAAGTAAAACAAAGAAAAAAAGAAATGTTATCAGATCCAACGAATAAAGAATTTTATAAGTTACAAACACAGTTACGAAGTCTAGTTCAGTGAATATAATGGAATAACATATGCCAAGTTTCATTGACTACAAACTCACTAGCCTGGATAATCGTCAGTCAGCTAGCCAAAACTGATTGGAAACTAGTTCCTCACAACAAGTATTATTTGTCAGAAAATAGCATTAAAAATGCTTTGAAAGGGACCAATGGCTCAAACATGGTTGAGAAGTGAAATTCAGTGACTCAGCTCAGAGCAGGTGAAACTGAGCAGACAACTATCTGCTCTGGCCGATACTTACTTTATACCATCAACAGGCTAAACTGCTGAGTTACATATAAAATCTTTTAGTTGTCATAAAGGGGGAATTAGCTACAGAGACCAATGATGTATTTCATACCAGACGTTTTAATGGAATAAAATGGTAATTTAGCTCACATATGGAGACAGGCTCCAGTGGCCACTGGAGGAACTGCAGTTTTTGGAACTTCTTATGATTCATTTTTAAACTGGCGACATTGCTGCTTGGTGCTCTTTAAAAGAAAAGCACTCTATACTGTTGCTTGTGATTAGATAAAATTTCTGAAATGAAAATATAGAAAAGAAACTTTGGGAGCATGAGAAATAACACTTTTTTTTTTAAATTACTTTCATTCTGACCAAATTTGCTTTGTCCTATAGTGTGTTTGCAGACTGTAACCAAGACAACTCAGCTCCACTTTATGGCCAGTAAAAGCAGATCACTGGCTGGTTCATTCAGAGGGAAACTCATACATGACACTTGGTCAAGTAACTGCAGGATTTTGTGATTCCGTGAATGCCTGAAAAGATAAAAGGCATTGCACACTCACTAACCATGGAAATACAGTTTTACCAATGCCATAAAGATTTTTCATTTAGTGGCAGCGAGAAGAACAACAATTTGAGTTACTTTAACCCATCCATCCATTCGCTTCCATTTATCCTTTTCAGGGTAACACTGGAGCCTATCCCAGCAGTCACAGGGCGAGAGGCAGGGTACACCTTGGACAGGTTGCCAGTTTGTCGCAGGGCTAATACACAGAGACAGACAACCATTCGCACTCACATTCACACTTATGGGCAATTTAGATTGATCAGTCCACATTAACTGCATATCTTTGGACTATGGGAGGGCGTCGGAGTACCCAGGGAGAACCCACGCAAGCACGGGGAGAACATGCAAACTCCACACAGAACTCATTGACCTTCTTGCTGTCTGGCAACAATGCTAACCGTCGTACCACCGTGCTGCCATTATAACCCACATTTATTAATCAAATTTAATCTACCTGATTTAATCTTAAGACTGAGACAAAGGCAAAATGACAAAGTATGAAGGAACACAGTCAAGAGTTCAAAGCTTAAGTAAATAATCTTGTCTCTCCATGTTTATCTGCTTTCCCAACTAATCCTCATCCCTCTCTCTGTCTCGTTTCTGCAGGACACAGTGTGAACTACCCACAGCTTGAACCCTATGTGAATCAAATTAACACCATAGTTCACTGCTTTTCACCCAATAAGACCTAAAGAGGATTGACTACTTTCATTCACTTGGTTTATGTGCTTGAAGAAACAACACATGGAAGCAGAAAGATGTTTTAAATGGGATATGTACCTAAATGTGGACACCTGGACACTCTTTCCCCCCATAGTGGAATAACCTATGCCAAGTTTCATTGACTACAAGCTCACAAGCCTGGATTACTGTGCCCTAAAATTACAGAAAAACCAAACCTGCATCTGGATTTCTGGCATTCTTCTTTGCGTGTGAAATGTTGATGTGCTTTTCCAGAGATCTAGCATCCGCCAAGAGTTATCACAAGGAGTTCATATGAACATTTGATCCTTTTTATGTTGAATACACAATGGAATAAAAGGGTGAGACAAGGAGCTTACAAAGACAAACAGTACAAAAATACATCTGGAACCTTGTATCCAAACATAAAGCCCCTTCCCCTGGCTGCAGAGTGGAAAAAGGGGTGTGTTTGGAGGTTTACCCTCACCAGGCTGCCACTTGCAGATGGAGGCCCACCAACACTCCCCAGATAGCAGCAGTGAGGAGTGCACCGTCCTGGAGGCTCCACCTGGCAAAAACGCCTGCCCACAACATGCAGGGAAGGTAGGTATTCAATAGGTATGCAAATGTCCTGAACTACGTATGAAAAGTGACATGAAAGCAAGCAAAAACTTGTCCACATATCGCACAAAGCCAAAATCAGCTTAAACCTTGGAGGTAAATTTTAGTTGGCTAAGAATAAACGTTTCTGTTAAACATCAGTGGTACAAAAGGAA